CGGCTTGCTTCGTGTCTCCTTTGAATCCCGCAGTAAATCCAGAAGATTCCAACTTAAGACTTTAGACCTTCGACCGCTTAACGGTAGTTGTTATCCAGGTGGTGACATCTGTCTTCAGAAAGAAGTTCGAGGTTGGGGCCTTCATTTTCTGTCACAAAGGTCCCTTGTATTATCAAGTGTATGAGCAAAACAGTCCTTCACCTTTTCTTGACTATGGAAGCTTTCTACAGCTCTACTTCTACCTTTAAAATGTCACATTTTCTGACTTGGGTAAATCAATAACCTTTAAAATCGGTGTCTAGGTTACTTATGATATTTTGTAAGAGTTTGTTTTCAAATTTGCCTTTTTATATTCACAGATGAGTGACTCACTGTGCATTAATGTTTTCAGAAAATAAAGAATGTTTTCAGAAAATAAAGTTATACGTTCATTTTCAGTTTTCAATGAAAATTTTAGAAAATACATTTAGAGAATTTTCATTTTCCATATCAGAAATTATGAAAACTGTAAAGCTCGTTTTTCAAATTTAAGCAATTTGGAAAACTAAAAATTTTCATTTTCTTCAAAAACTTTGACAAAAGACACGTTTTCGAAATTTCTGTTATTTTTTTCTTGAAAAATTTTACACAACCACACACACCCTAAACTTCTAAACTTTTTCAAAGCAAGAAGTTATATCTTTGGATAACAATTTAGTCCCACTAGGATGATTGTGGGTATTCTTTCAGCTAAACATGAGTAGATTGTCAACATCTACCTCCCTCCTACCTCAATATTCAAAGATATATGGGTTTTTTGAAAACAAGAGCTACTTAATTTAATTCTTTTTGGTGCTGACATTTTTTTTTTGTGTTTGTTGGACTCCGTTACATTCCTATTTACTCAAAATGCAATACAACAAACATTAACTGTATCATCAAAAACAACCAACAAAGTATCTTTTACAACACAAAAATAGACTTACAATTGTAATAAATGCTTAATTTATTCGATACGTAAACATAAAATGATGGTAAAATCTTGCATACTTCATGACACCTGGAAAAAAATGTGAAACAATAAACAAAATATTAGAAATCAAACGCTTTTCTTTATCTTCACAAATCGACAACAAACAGCACATAGGATTTTGAGCTTTGAATTTATATAACTTATGTATGACTTCATATATAATGCATTAGTAAATAGGGTCAAATCCTTGTTTATGCAAACGACATTTCATCTTTTTTATTTTCCAATTTATGCAACATCATGGTTTTTTTAAACAAAATATGCAACCACATTTCATTCTAAAATAAATTACATTTTTGGTCCCTGATCATAGCTTTTTTTTCAATGTTGGTCCCAAAAAAAATTTCTCTTGCAATTTTGGTCCTTAATTGAGGTTTTTTTTTTTTACGTTTTTGGTCTCTCTTCCAAGTAGAATGACTATATTTTAGGGGCGAAGGGTTAGGAGATAAAAGGGTGAGGGTGGGACCCAACTTTTTATTAATAAATTAAATATCATAACAATTATAAAAATTGAAAAAAATAAATTTGTAAGGGCATAAATGTCATTTTAAGTGTGCAGGGACCAAAGTCACTAAAAAGATCCGAAATTGGACCACTTTTGCATCACAAAACATTTTTGGACCAAAACCACATAATTCTAACAACCACAGGGACCATATGTGCAATTTTGTCAAACAGAAACCAAAAACATTACAAATAACTCAAGCAAAATGAAACATCAATAAATAATTGGTATAGAAAAACCATGTTTTAAGCAGTAATATACAGCATCTTTTAGTTCTTAAATGAAACATCAATAAATAATTGGTATTAAAAAAAACCCTTTCTTGCATAAATTTGGGAAAAATGAAAGGTTGTTACATAAACAAGCATTAATGCTATGTGGATGTATCTTGGAAATCATGTGCATACTTAATTTCTTCCTATTACAGCAGGGAAAAGAATACTTAATTATACAACATAGATATAATAGATTAAATGTAATAACCAATTTTAATTGTCAACATTGCATATACCCAAGACTTTCATAAGACTTGATTACTTTTCTATTTGCTAGATACAGAAGGTTTCAATAACTTTCAGGGTTATTTTTGTATTGGAAAATGCCTTTCAAATAACTCACGCAAAATGAGTTCAGCATGGTGATTCTATTTGAAGAAATAATTATTGGAAGACAAGTCTATGCTTCACATCATATGGTAATGGAAGCACATCTCAACAAGCAAGAAAACTAACTAAGGTTCCAATAACTAGATTAGTCTTTGAATATTAGAACCTTTATAGCCCAAATTTCACTGTTTACAACTCCAAACTTTTCCCCTTTATAATTTGTGAGATTCTTGTGAATCCAAAATAGAAACCTAAGCATAATCCCATAATCGTGATTTTGATACACGATAGATTACTATCCTAGAGATGCAAGAGTTCGATTCTATACACCTAAGTAGTTGAGATATCATTCGTAGCATCTGAAGTCCGATAAATTAACTAAAATAAATCGCATAAAGTTGCCAAGAACATAATATCAAACGCTTAAGAAGCTCATGAATCATGATACACCTCCATATTTTGATCCATGGATGTTGCAACAGCATAAAACTTATCGCATCAAACCGCTAATTTATCGAATAAAACAAATAAATACGACATGAAAAGCAAATAAGTAAGAAACCCTAGAAATGAAGGACAAAAAAAGAGCAGAAGAATAGAGGGGTTATAGAAATTGACCTGATGGAGGAAAGGGATGTCAATGAGAATGAGAAGATGTAGAAGTTGTATGAGAAGGAGCATTGATCTTGTTGTAGGCAATTTCAGCAACGACGTAGACGCCAAAAGCGACGAGGGCGATTCCGAGGCCAGGAGTAGCGTGGCGGAATTGGTTAGTGAGCATCGGATGCTTCCTCCATGCATCCCTTCGCCTGAAGAATTCCCCAGTTGGCCCTAATGGTGCCTTCCCCATTTCTCTCTCAAGACTCAAGCAATTGATCCGATCGTTGCTTCGCTGTTTTCTTTTTGGTTGAATTCAGTCCCTTTGATGTTTGAACTGTTGCAGAATTGCGGTTTGCAGCTTCACCCTCCATTCCATCCTGGGCTGGGCTGGGTCGAGGTCACTATAGAAGCCCAATATCAGTAATTTTACTTTTTGTAAATTGCAAATACTACATTCTAAGTTTCTAACGTTGTTTTTGTTTTTTATAATTGTTTTAAAAGAAATTATGATTAAAAATACTATAATTTGGTAGTTTTGTTAAATAACGTTTATTAAGATAGAAATGGATAAATTATTAATATACTGTAATATATAAATAATTGAAAGTATTTTTATTATTGCATTTAGCCCCATGAAAATACAATATTAACTTTTTTTTTACTGTTTTAAAAGTATTTAGTTTTATTTTTAGGTTAAAATTTCTATTTGTAGATAACAAATCTTTTTTAAGCTTTGGTCCAGCCCAATCCTTAAAAAAAATATACATATGACTACATTGGTCTTGATGTTTGCAGTCTAAACTCCAAAAACATAAGTGATTCATGGTTTTTGGCATGAATCTGAACTGACCAAGACATATTATACGACTCGAATTTTGGTGCAAATATATCCGAATGAGTTAACAATGACTTTTTTATACAATATTTTTTTAAATCAAATAAAGTGGTTTTTTACTAACTTATACAACAATCGTCAACTTATTATATTTTTTTATTAATTCATGCATAAAATTGATTTCTTGCTAATTTATACAACAAAATTGATTTATTGCCAACATTTATTCAAAAACTCACTGTTATTTCTTGCATTTCTCCCTTTTTACAAATACAAATACAGATAGTAATTTTCTACACTTTCATAAAAAGACTAAATACAAGAATTATAGACAAAATTGCAAAAATGGTCACTGTGGTATGCATTTTTTTTTTGGAGGGTTTTAGTTCAAACCTCGATTTTTTTGGATTGGTGATCCTTTTGGACTGGTTTCTTTGCATTTTTGATCCCTCAGTAAACTGAAAAGACTATTATGTCCTTCTGATATATATTTTTATGTTTTTTCTATTTAATTTAAATGAAAATTAAAATAATTACCTAATTTGGGGCCCACATCTCTCTCTCACTCTCTCTCTCTCTCTCTCTCACACACACACACAAACACACACACACACACACTCTCTCTCTCTCCCACCTTTGACGATTGTTTTTCTCCCCCGATCAAACCTTGAAACCACTATTTTCTGAAGAAAATGGAAGTTGTAAACCAAAATAAGAACCTAAATCAACAACCCAAATCTTGAGCCCATTTCTCCTTCTTCACACCCAAAGCTTTGATGAGATAAACCAGCTCCAAACACCATTCTCTTCATTCAATTTTGTTGTTGCCATCAAGAAGAAGAACATAAGCAGCTGCCTCTTCTACTTCACTTGTCTTCTCCTTCATTTCCTGTTATGAAATGTCAGGGGTGATGGCCAGTGAGACAATATTTGACAACTTACCAGTTAATTTCGCACTACGACCCACACAAATTTTTCTGATTCCAAGTCCATACAGTTGAAATTGATCATATTCATTACAAGTGAAAGAGTCTTAATTACCTCCACCAATGATATTAAACAACTCGATAATTCGACAGGCATGAGACTTCGACCGACGAACAGAGAGCCAAATAGCTTTCTCTCCAGTTTGCCAACAATCCTGACGGGTAGGATACAGAGCTCTTTAACTCCATCACTATCGATTTATCCAAATCACTATCGAAAACGGTGTAGGAACTGAAAGAAACGGTGAAGATCCAGGAAATAATAGTATCTTTAAGGGTTTGCTTTAACATTGTGCATGACTCATCTTGGAGATCGGAAAACAGAGACTGGTTCGAGGCAACAACCCCTTGTTGCTCCACCTTTTTACCTGTCGATCGTAGTCACTGAACTCCCCCTGAAGACTGTTGCGATCGTTGTTGCCTTTCCCCTTTTCATCCTCCATTTCTTCTTCGTTCCCTAGCCTGAACCCACCACTAAAGTGGGCGTTTCCTCGGAGCAAACATCAGAGGCAGTAGCCCCTTTTTGATTCCCCACCTTCGCACCTTCCTTCTGAGACAGAAGAAGCATAGGAGCTAAAGGCGACGACAGGCTCGAAGATGATTGATGCATCGAAGGTGATGGCAATATGGTCGCTCCGTTGCTCCTCTCGACTGCTTTCCCCTTTTGTTGTCGGCTGTAGAGGTGGGTTGCACACGAAGTGAACAGAGGGTGTTTGGGCTATTTGATCGACGGGAAAGAAAATGAAGGCGGAAGGGAGTTCGAGAGGTGGTGGCAACCACCGGTTCTTCTTCACTTGAGAGAGAGAGAGAGAGAGAGAGAGAGAGAGAGAGAGAGAGAGAGAGAGACCCATTTTTATATTTAATAATAATAATAATTTTAAAATAGAAAAAAATGAAAACTAAATTCATTAGAAGTATAATAGTCTTTTTAATTTAAACAGAGACCAAAACTGCATGTAAACCAACCCAAAAAAAACCACCAATCCAAAAAAAATCGAGGTTTAAACTAAAACCCAAAAAAAATATACATATCACAGAAACCATTTTTGCAATTTTGTCAATGATATATCATCATACTTCAATTTTTTATTAGAGCGTCATACTTTCAAAAAAAAATCTAATTGAGACATTATTTTTTAAAAAAATCTACCAAATATAACATTGTACTTTCAACCTTTTGTTTTATCAAGACAATACTTTTATTTTCACTAATTATAACAATCATTGATGTGATTAATTAGATTTTTCAAAATATAAAGCCGTGACAAGAAATAAATTTAAGATCTCATAAAAATCAAAAAATAATCAATAAAAGTCCGTTGTTATTTTATTGCATTTAACTCAAAAACAACTACCAATAACGCAATACCATCAAGTGCAAGTTGAAAGGGAAGTGAAGAAAGAACGGTCATTGGTCCCCCTCTTCAGTCTTCACCTTTATTTCCCCCACAAAATAAAATTAAAAAAAAATGCAGAAAATCCCAGTTGTAAACACTTTACATGTATCTCCCTCCTCCTCAAACTACAAGAAGCATTAAGTTATGAAAATATTCTTCCGGACATAAATGACCTTGGATTGAAATTTTGACTTTTTTAAACAGTCATCTTCTAGACCTGTGATCTGTCCTTCCTGACTTTCCACACTCCCCAAACAATAAAAATCTTGCTCCTCTTCGTGGGCCAACCGGGGTTCCAGGCTTCATCTGTTCAAAATAATAGTGTTACTGTTATTGTGTTACTATAACTATTAATATTATTGTTGTTACTGTTACTGTTACTATTACAATTAATTTTAATTGTAATAGTAACAGTAACAGTAACATTCCATTCCTTCCCCAATTCCACCATATCAAGCACTACCTAAGAGTTTACCTTCCCTCTCCTATTCCGCCTCTTGTTAAAACAGAAACAACCACCACCTCCTGATCCAGACTCATATCCCCTGTAAAACAAAAACCATAAGAATAGGTAAAAGGGTATTTTGGTCTTTTATCTTCACGCGAGAAAAAAAAAAAAAAAAAAAGAACCAGTACGTCAACCACTTACTTTCCCGCTAAACTGCCATCATGCAACAAGCTCGGTGACATCGGATACTGTCGCCCAATATGTTCCTTGGAAAGGGTATTTCCGTCTTTTATCTTCAAAAGATTAAGTTCACGGGTCAACTCATCTTCCCATTTCTCCTGTGACAACGGGTCCATCGCCACCATCTGCCGCTGGTGGTCCCCGCCATCTTGCGGTAAAACCTGATTCCGTTCCGGTTTCAACCGGTTCAACGATCCCGGAGTTCCGCCCTTTTCCGCAGTTTGTAACCACGCGGTTTCTAACCGCTGTTCATGAATGATCGATTCTATTCTTTGAACCGGATTCCCGGTTTTGGGGGGTTTTCCCCCTTTTGCAACAAGTGGGGACGCAACTCTGGAATTGATGATTCCGGACATCTTTCCATCGGAATCATGAAAGCTTCCTCGCGGTACCTTTTGTGAATCTGGATTGGGTTTTGGTGTGGGCCCGTCATCTGAAAGTAATATGATTCTGACTTCTATGTTGCGGTGGAGAACCGTTTCAAATGAGTTTGTGATGCTACTAAGAAACCTTTCAGCTCGACTTTTTATATCTTTATCCCGAAACACAATATAAGCAACAAGAATTCCTACAAGATTTATATATAAATTATTATATATAACATACTTCCAGTTATTTTTTATTATTATAAACTTAATTATTACCTTTATCTTCAGAAATCGACACCAGATTCCCATAAGTATGAAGCAGTTGCCTTAAAGTCTTGGAATGGCACTTTTCAATGCAACGTGCCCAAATATCATCCAATATATTTGAATTACTACGTTTCGATACATTTATGACATCATCATCATCATCATCATCATCATCATTATGATGTGGGACTGAGGATGCTGCAATTGCATCCCCATTCATGAGTTGCCTCATTGATAGAAGGGTATCTTTTGGGCTAGTTGAATTTTGGCGAATGGGCTTAGGGGGGTACATAGGGGTAGACTTTTGAGGGGTATATTGGGAATCTTGCCTTTGTTTTTGAAAATATATATCTCGGAAAGTAGCAGATGGATCATCTTCGGTTGTCCTTGAGCTTTGTCTTCTACTGCTTCCGGAAGGAGTGGGGTCCGCTGAGGGGACTGAGCCTAGCTGTAATAAGGTTGCTGTGAACCATGTTGACCTTTCACTTGAAAGTCTTAATTGTTTTTCAGACTCAGAAAGAAGTTTTAATGCATGCTTTAATCTTTCAATTTCTGCTTCTGTCACTGAAGAATGTTGCAATCATCCATAGTTTCAGTTATAATAATCAAAATATGATAATAATACATGTAGTATTAAAGTTTATAAAGAAAAAAGTTGAGAAGAACTTACAGCTTCTACCATCAAACAATGAGTCAGCACTAGCTTCAATTACTTGATATGTTCCAGCAATAATGTCCATAATAAGTGTAGCCATTTGAGACATGAGAACCATAGGGTCAACTCCCAATTCCATTAATTCTCTGGCTCTTTTCACAGTTTCAGCTGTGTTTGATGACATTGCTAACTCCAGAAGTTCCAATAACTTCTCATCAGAGACAACTCCTACCTACAATCAACTCCAAAAGAATCAAAAAAAGTTTGATTAAAAAGTTACAAGTATCAACAACTATCAAGAAACCAGTAGATTAGATACTTACAAGTTCATTCACCAAATCAGTGGTGATTCTCTTTCCTAATAAACTTAACTGATCCAACATAGTTTCAGCATCTCGCAATGACCCTTCTACATTCAATGCAATCAAATCCAATGCATCCTCTTCCACATCCAAATTCTCATCCACTGAGATTTTCCTCAATCTGTTAACTATGTCACTATCTTTAATCTTGCTAAAAAGATACTTTTGGCATCTTGACAAAACAGCACGTGGCACATTGTCAAGATCAGTAGTTATAAAGATAAACACCACACTTGGAGGTGGTTCTTCTAGAAACTTCTGGAAAGCCAACCATAATTTAGAAGGTAACAAGTGACACTCATCGATAACATAAACCTCATGCCTTGTAAAGGTTGATGTAGAAAGACCCACATTCATTTGAAGTTTCTTCATCAAATATCTAACTTTATCGATCCCTTTCTTATTGGATCCATCCATTTCAGTGATGACGTGGCTCTTCCCTGAAATAAACTCAGCACATTCCCTGCAAATCCCACAAGGTCTTGTATCTCCAGTAGCAAGACAATTCAAGGCTGCAGCAAAGATTCTTGCAGTTGATGTTTTTCCAGTGCCACGTGGACCTTGGAAAAGATAAATTGGAGCAATTCTTCCTTTCATGATAGCATTCACAAGTGATTGGACTACAACATTCTGCCCAACTAAATCCTCAAAGAACATTGGCTTATACTTGTGGCTGTAGCAGTTGATATTATCAAGAGATGAAGGAGAATCACCTTCTCTTTCTCCATTTACAGCTACAAGCTCCAAACCTTCTTGACTTCTGTAGCTTGTTGACCACCTCCTTCCATCTAATCGACTCAAAGCTTCCAAATCAAGCTCTCCATAGTTGGTTGAAAGCTCGTCATCTGTCCCAATAGATGAACGATCTCTGCTTTCTGCACCATTTGTTAGCAATGGAACAAGACCTTGGGAAGATTTGTGGGCATGTCTCTTCTTGTTGTAAGCACCTATTGATGATCGCCTATGGTACATGGTTTGGCTACCACACAACATGCTGCTTCCTTTTCTTCTCAATGTATCTGAAAATGAAGGTGAGTAACAGCTACCACAAACCCCACCACGTTTTGGGGTACTTCTCTTGGAGGAAGACCAGTAACAAGGAATCCCACATCCATGGCGACCTGGTAGATCCAACTGATCATCTTCATCATCATCATCATAGTCATAACCTAATCCTTCATCTCCATCAGTTGTTGCATCCCATGATCCAACTGTGCTTGGATTCCTAATGCAATACTTGTTGAAAGAGCTTGTGGATAAAGCTGGGGTGCTATAACAGTAAGATGAATCGTCTTTCCTACTACCACCTCTCAACAATTTTGAAGATTTGAGCCTTGACAACAATGGTGATGTCACTGAGGACCCTTTAACAACTATATCATCCGAATTAACATCATCATATTGGTCAACTAGGCTTAGCTGTCTCTGCAGTTGAAGTTTTAAAGCAGCAGATGCATGTGATGTTTTCTTTGGCTTCTTCTTCATCAATGATGCCCTCCTAACAGGTGGTGTTGTGAGACTAGTTGCATCTTTGCAATTATTGAACATCTTTGAAGATGACAATGCGTACCTGTGATCATCAGCAGCAACACTCTTCAAATCTCCATCATTTCGGGCATCGCTCAAGCTGTCATCGACACTCTCATCACAATCACCGATTCCGTCATCAACATTTCCTCTTTGTTGGTGTATTGGCCTTCTGGTAGTGTCATCTGTTTGCCCCGTCACGGAAGCGCTCCTCTCGCTCTCCGATCTCTGCGTTTTCCAATTATACAAAAACACCTTCTTCTCTTTCCTCCTATTTTTATTATTATTATTATTACTGCTACCACTAACATTGTTGTTGATGCTGTTGCTGATGTCGTTAACATTATTCTCATCGGTCTCTTCTATACTGTAACTAGCGTTGTTCCTATAATGGTGATTATAATGGTTGCTTGGGGCATTGGTGACGGAAGAAGAAGCGGCCGCTGCTGCTGCTACAGCAACGGCGGTGGTGGATCTAGATGAACTGAGGGGAGACCGCCATGAGGAAGTCGTACCAGGATCTCGTAAAGCACGAGCAGCTTTCCTAATCTGAGTTAACTCCTTCTTCAGATGCAGATTACTGGGATCAACAAGGCCGCCACTATAACTACCACTGCGATTTGCAGACATTTTCTTGCTGCTGCTGCTCCAATGAGTTGCAGAAAAACTTCGGAAAATCAAAAGAATGAGTAAATGTAAATGCCACAGATCTGACAGATTCGTGTAAAAGAGGATAAGCTATAAAGTACAAATGTACATTTGATAGAAATTAGGGTTTGGAGGAAATGATTTTCGAATTGGGGAGGGAAAAAGAGGATTTTTGAGACAACATTTCATCGAAATCGGAGAAAAGATTGGGGGTAAAAGGTGGAACTTGGGTTCTTCCCTCTCAACAGTGGCACATTTGATAGTCCCCTTCAAAAAGATTCTTCTGCTTTTGTCCCCGGATTCATCTCACTTTTTGTCCGACGTTTTTATTTTTATTTTAGTCATTCTAAAAATTATGACTACCCAATTAATAGGGCTTTGAAATTGATGGGGTACCGAATTGTTACAGTAAATAGCAACTTTTTTTTTTTATCGATAGAGTGTACTTTTTTTTTTTTTTTCATAAAATCTAACTTCAAAGCATGTGCAATTGTATTTTTTTTAATATTTGAATAACAAAACTATACTTTTACCAAATGTCACGATCTCAGTTAAAATTTTTATACAAAAAGTCATTGTGGTTTCGTATGAATGATCATTATAGTTTCTAAAATTTGCAAGAACCATCTTTGAGCTACGAAAAAAAGACTATTTTTTCCTTCTTTAATCTTTTACAAAAAATCATTGTGGTTTCGTATGAATGATCATTATAGTTTCTAAAACTTGCAAGAACCATCTTTGAGCTACGAAAAAAAAAGACTATTTTTTCCTTCTTTAATCTTTTATCTTAAAAAAACTAATAAATAATAAATAAATCTAATTACTAAAAATAAGAAAATAAATGAATATATACCCCCCCTCCTTTCTTAACCCTCCTCTTGTTCTTCTTTCCTTTCATTTTCATCAACCACCACAACCAACCCCTTGTATTTTATACCCAGATTAAATCCGCAAAATCAAGGAGATCTTTAGGTGATTTTGGGGAGGTTTTACCGTCCACGTTGAAGCAGTTCCATATTGATTTGTTCTTGAGTCGACCACCTTGATGTTGATTTTTCTAGGTTTGATCTACCTTCAAGTCAATTTCAATAAAATCCTACCTCCTCGGTGAAACATCCCCAAAAATATAATAAAAAAAAATTGTTTTTAAATAATAATAAAAGTCATAACATTGAATGTCATATAATAAAACCATATGTCGGGTATCTCAGAAGCCATAATAAAAGTGTTATATCAAAAACCGTATCAAATCATATCTAAGTATCTGAACAAAATTCCTAGGAATAAAAGCTGAAGTTGTGGTGTGTGCGATGCCATCAACCCGAGCTCTTCCCTTTACTTGCGGAAGTACCTGAAACCAAAACTGAAACTGTAAGCACAAAGCTTAGTGAGCTCCCCCAAACTACCACATACCATACAATAACATATAAACACATACTGGGCCTTGCCCACTGCATCGGACCGAAGTCCGGAAACTGCATCGGAACGAAGTCCGGAACTAACCAGGGCCTTGCCCTCTGCATCGGACCGAAGTCCAGAATTGACTGGAACCTTGTCCCCTGCATCGGACCGAAATCCGGAACTAACTACATCGAACCGAAGTCCGGAAACTGACTGAACATAACATAGCATGGCATAAACATATCAACTAGCATGAACACATAAACTACATATTGCATCGAGCCGTAGCCCGGAACACATAACACATGAATCCTGTCTTAGCCACGAAGGCATCAAACATACTAAAAATTGCATCGGACCGAAGTCCGGAAACTACTACTAGCTAAACGGTTCGGCATTGTGGCCTTAGACCCATTTCTACTGGAAGGAAACTCACCTCGTAAACTGGCTGGTAATTGAACTGCTCTGGAAACTGTTTACTGCTGCTCCGGTATCTCCCCGGCTACAATTTCCATAACACAATGAATCAAATACTGATAACTATACTAAAGGTAAAATGACTATTTTACCCCTGGTCAAAGTCAACATATAGTTGACCTGACTCATCGAGTTGGGTCACCAACTCGTCGAGTCTTCACCCTTACTTCTTTGCTTCTATTCGCTACTACTCGTCGAGTTTGGCATAGACTCGATGAGTTCCCCTTCAATGTTATCACTCAGTCAATCTGCATCCGACTCGCCGAGTTGTATGAACAACTCGTCGAGTCCTCCTTCAATTTATGAACACTCTGGCTGTGACTCGCCGAGTTGTATGAACAACTCGTCGAGTCTGATCTAGAGGTATGAAGACTGTCTTGGACTCCCGACTCGACTCGCCGAGTCCGAAGAATGACTCACCGAGTCACATGCATGCAATTATTATACAGACGATTCTACTCAAAACCAACGCATCCAACTGATAGATCTAGGCTCCTAAGGCTTGGTTTGCACGTAAAGGTTCCATTTTTACGTGCACGTATACTCCTAAAGAGGTTTATGGGCTTAAAATGCATGAATAAGGTTAGATCTAGGGTTTATATGCAACAAGGTTCAATAAAGGTATTAGATCTGGGTTTTGGGACAGAAATATGATTAGATCTGAAAGCTATACCACCATACAAGCTCCCTTACTAGATTAAGCTCATAAATGGGCAAAAAGGTAACCTAAATGAGATTCTTAAAGAGAAACAACCAAAGAACAGAAAGAGTCTGATTAATACCTCAAATGCCTCTGAAATGGATGCAAGAACTTGATTCCCCTCTTCTCCTTTGGATCTAGCCTTCCTCCTATCTTCCAATCTTCACTCTTTACACAAAAATGCCCAAAACACTCAAGATAGGTTAAGATGTTGCTATAAGATGTTTTGAGGGTGAGGGAGGCCAGATTGGGCGCATAAGGGGGATTATATAGGGTGCAAAACCCGTGGATTTAGGGTTTCTTCCAGACTGTCGGACTCACCGAGTCCAGGATATGGACTCATCGAGTCGCCCACTTTCACGTGCAACAGACTCGTCGAGTCCCTCCTGAATACTTAGAAAAATAAACATTAAATAACATACCAGAAATGGGGTCGTTACACTCGGTGTGGATTGTCATGATCTCGTCATCAGTTTGAACATATGTTCTTCAACACACAATCAACCGGTAATTGATTTCTTTAAATTTTGTTTGATTTCATCTGCAAATCAATTTTTTATGTGTTTTAGTTTAACTAGTTCTTCAACATATGATATCAATTTTTGTAATCTATTTCTTGGATTTGTGTTTGATTCCATATAGTAATCATTTTTGGAGTTTTTCCTATGTGAAACAAATTTTTTTGAATTTAGGTCGCGGATTAGAAGCAGCCTTTCCCCTGCTATGGATCGATTTATAGGTGTGCAAGAGAAACGAAGAACATATACGTATGTATGGAGAAGGGGTAATGATGATCTGATTTAGGGTTGTGGAGTAGTAAATGAACATGGTAGGTTTTTTTCTTAGCAGATGATGGTTTGCGATTGAGTTAGTCGATTGCAGGTTGTGTGAAAATGATTGCTCGATGGTTTTAGTTTTCGATTACCCTAAAGTTGTCTATCTCCAAAGAAATCACAAATACTTGTTGTAAGGTCCCAATTACGCGAATCAAACCAGTGATCAAAACAAACAATAGCAAGAATGAGTAGAAGAACAAGATGATCAAGCAATGCACACGTTCATTCACTAAAACATCGAGTACACCTTGAAGATACACACACACTGACCATAAACACTTATGATACGTCACTCAATACATCTACCTTCTGAAAGACACTGACACATACTATATATAGGGAATGAGTGGCCGTAAACACCAACTCAGCCGTAAACACGTCAACAAGCTACAGAATACCTACAGCCTAAGCAAGACCCTATCAAGATCTATACAAAATATTGCCTAGACCAAACCACAAAATATGGATCTACCAATCGCCCTATTGGTTTGTGGCTAGCATGAGTTTTGTCATCAATTATTTTGGAGTCTCTAGAAACCTCACATCCGATCTTCCCATCTCTCCCATCCAAAGCCTGTTATCAATTATCTTTGCAATCATTTCGGTGTATTCCTTAGCAGCTGCCTCCATGACTTCGTTTTTGCAGATTATTTGATGTTTTGCCAAGGTGTGAATATCCCTTTCCCTGAACCTTAGAAGATCTTTAGCTTCAACAAGCCGAAGGACAGATTCGTTGTCACGGCACTTGATAATTGTAGTGGTTATGGCCTCATCAAAGGCCCAGAATTCCATCTGATCCAGATAACCATTGTGAAAATGTTGAGGAATTGGGATTTCTTTTATGTATTTAGTAGCAGGACACAACATTATCTTCATAGGCTCGTTGGTTCGAGGATCTAGCGCATCCTTGTCTTTTCTAATTAGAGATACTGCAGTCTTCATCCCAGAAAAATTCTCTTTCACTTGTTTTTCCAGAAAGAGTTTGAATTTTGTAGCCTGAGGATTCGTGGATGGATTGTGGAATGGAGCATTTGAAAGCTCTGTAAGACCGATTTTTGTCCAGGAACAAAAATCTTGTGCATATTTTTAGTATTCAGGAGCGCTAAATTTTCTTTTCACCAACCACATTTTTAAATCAGCATGATATCCCGACATCCTAATTCCCGATCGATTTGAAAACACATCACCAAACTTTCATTTTTAAGATCAGTCACCGTGAGATGAGGTTGGTCTCCACTACGATTCTCATCAGAGTTCCTCATGAAGAGTAATCCTTATTTCTTGTCAGCGGTGACCTTTCTCTTGGCATGCTTAATAGTGATTCGTGTCTTAGCATTCACAGGCTCAGTTTTGAATCGATCGACAATTCGTGTGGTTCTGGGAGGTATATGATCCACAATGTTGTCGTTGAAGGGAGACTGGACAGGGGCGCTGGAAGGACCTTCAGTTGGTACTGGCAGAACAACATATGACTAGAACCTGTCACCAAATTCTTCATAAAGTTTGTTCTTTAAGTCATAATAGCATGCAGTCAGAGCTCCACGGTGATTTTGACAGTCATATATTTG